CCGACTCCTTCCACTTGGTATATCATACACAAGCCTCCTGAAACAACATGAACCCTGTTACACTTCCCAATTCCAATCCTTCAAACAAATTGTGACATACCACAGGCTTACTGACTGGGGACTGTACTGCCAGACAGAGTGGAAATATCACCATTACTCACTGTCTCTTTGGAAAATATTGATAATGCAGCCAGCCAAAAAGTATTTGCAACTAAAAATGGTTTTGTGTAAACAATTTAAAATTTAAAAAAAAACCTTTTCACAAGGTTTTAAATATTAAATTAAAAGTATGAGTAAAAGGTGCTGATTGGGGTGACATTTACTGTGAAGCTGATCTTGGGGTAGGGAATAAACGATAGGATAGAGCCCGAAGAGAGAGAAAAGCAGGTGGATAAACATAAGAGTTGATAACTATCAGGCTAGGAATAGTTGTTAATGGTGACTGCTAGTCACTAACAACAGGAAGTGTGTAATGGCAGGCTATGTGATAACAAGGCCTGGTGTGTGGGGCAGGGGGCTAGGACATGGTAGAGTTTAGGCCCTAAAATTATTGAATTCGATATTGTGTCCAGAGGGCTGCAGGGTCCCCAAGCGGAAAATGAGGAGTTGTTCTTCCAGTTTGCGTTGGGCTTCGTTGGAACACTGCAGCAAGCCAGAGATGGAGATGTTGGCCAGGGAGCAGGGTGGTGCGTTAAAGTGGTAGGCAACTGGAAGTTCAGGGTCTTTTTTGTGAGCAGAACGTAGATGTTCTGAGAAGCGGTCACCCAGTCTATGCTTCATTTCCCCAATGTAGAGGAGACCACAATGTGAGCAGCGAATGCAGTAGACTAGATTCTGTCAACTGCAGGTGAGGTGCTGCTTCACCTGGAAGGTATGTTTGGGTCCTTGGATACTGAGGAGGGAGGAGGTAAATGGGCAGGTGTTGCAGGGGAAGGTGCTGTAGGGCTGTGGGGAGGTGTTGGGGGTGAAGGAACTGTGGACCAGGGTGTCCTGGAGGGAACGGTCCCTGAGGAAGGCAGACAAGGGAGGAGAGGGGAATATGTGTCTGGTGATGGCATCTCACTGGAGGTGGTGGACATGGCGCCTGATGATCTTCTGGATGTGGATGCTGGTGGGATGGTAGGTAAGGACAAGGGGAACCCTATTGCTGTTGCAGGAGGAAGAGAAGGGGTGAGGGTGGAAGTGCAGGAGATGGGTCAGACCCGGTTGAGGGCCTTGTCAACAACAGTGCTGGGGAATCCTCGTTTGAGGAAGAAGGTGGACATTTCAGAGGCTCCCTTGTCAAAGTTGGCCTCATCTGAACGTATGTGACAGAGTACCTAATCTCAATATTGCCGGTAACCCCAGCCAATTAAATAAGTTCAAACCAAAACAAATGATTGTCTGTCCATGTGATGATTACCAGTTATGGTATAGTCGGAAATATCTTGCTTGGAGGTGCTATAGTAACAGCAGTTTTAATGAGACCTATTATGTAAAATAAGGAGATGAAGTAAAATATGTATAATTTAAATTGGTGAGAATCACAAGGTTTGGGTGAGAAGTTTTTTTAATTTGTTCATGGGATGTGAGTGTCATTGACTAGACCAGCATTTGTTGCCCATCCCCAATTGCCCTTGAGATGGTGGTGTTGAGTTGCCTTCTTGACCAGCTACACTTTTAGGAACGTAGGGAAGTAAGTTCCAGGATTTTGACCCAGTGACAATGAAGAAACAACAATATTTCCAAGTCAAAACAATGTGTAGCTCAGAGGGAATCTAGTACGTGGTTGTGATCCCAGGCATCTGCTGCCCTTGCCCTTCCAGAAGGTAGAGATTGCCCATTTGAAAGGTGCTTTCCAAGGTGCCTTGATGCTTTGTTGCAGTGCATCTCGTAGATGGTATACACTGCTGCCACTGTGCATCAGTGGTGGAGAGATTGAATATTGAAGGTAATGGATGTGGTGCCAATCATATGAACTGCTTTTCCTTGGATGGTGCTGAGCTTCTAGCGTTGGAGTTGCCATCTATCCAGGCAAATAGAGAGTATTTCCATCACACCCCTGACATGTCCCTTGTAGGTGGTAGAATGGCTTTGGGGAATCAGAAAAGGCAGGTTATTCAGCACAGAATTCCTAGCCTCTGACTTTCTCTTCCAACCATCATACTTGTGTAGCTGATCCAAATCAGTTTCTGGCCAATGATAAACCTCATGATGTCAATAGTGGGGGAATTCAATGATGATAATGCCATTGAAGATCGAAGGGAAATGTTTAAATTTTCTTTTCATCAAAGATTTATATATTAGCTGCCATTTCTATAAGGTGGAAACTAGATAATCCTGCAGTTATTGGTCCCTGTTTGCATCCTCCTTCAACATGGAATTTACTACATGATTACTGAAGGTCATCTGAAGCTTTGGCCTGTCCCTAGAGCCAGAAGGTGTTTCTTCAATGCCAGTTGAAGAAAGGGATCCGGGCTGACAATTCCCAAGTTGGGAGTTTGTATTTGCTCGAATCCCACCTCCTTTTTATAAAACTTTTGGAAAATGTTTTAATCCTCGGACGCCACAAACAGGCTTTTGCATGAGACCTTTGGCCTAGTAGGCCCTGCACCCAGCAGAGGGCAAGAAAACCCTCAGGGCAAGACCACTGTGTTCTGACTGCATTTTGTCAGAACAGCGGTGGCGTTGAGGGTACTCGAAGTTTAATCCTGTGGGAGTGGTGGTAGACAGGGCCAAGTTGCGGTGAATGTGGGACTGGGCCTAACTTCTGACCTTTTCATCACAGCTGCCTGGTTTGTAAGATTAGAAGGGAAAGGAATGTTTCGTCCTTTGTATCTGAGAGAACTGCATCTGTACCAGTAAAACAAGGAAGGAAGCTGAAATCCAGACCTTGCCAGAAAAATCAAAAATCAGATTTAAACATAAAATGGATCTTTCAGGCGTTTCCACAAAAATCTGTCTTCTTTGTCCCCAGTTTTCGGTCCTGTCAGTGTTGGCTTCTTATTGTCATGTGGGTGTACTGCACTATTTGCAGTGTACAACCTTCCACAGTCTTATATATATTTGCAAGTTATTCAATTGCAGTGGCTATTATGGCTGAATTAGATCCAATCTGCAACGAATATTAACTTGTGGGGACCTCCAGCAGTGCGGAAACTCAATTAGAAACAGAAACTTGGACCGGGGTGTTCACTCCCTAACTCCTGGATCCCTCATGATAACTGAGTGGCTTTCTTTGGCTGACAAAGTTCCATGACCACAGCACAGACCAGAGATTGGCCATGCTGAATGGCCTATAGTGTCCAGGGATATGCAAGCTAGGTGGATTAGCCATAGGAAACGCAGGATTACAGGGATAGAGTAGGGGGTAGATGTGGGTGGGATGCTCTTCAGAGGATCGGTGTGGAATCAATTGGCCATTTGGCATGCTTACACACTGTGGGGATTGTATGATTCTATGTATCTGATGCCAAAATAGAAGGCACACAAATCTTGGAGACTCTTCCCTGAATTGAATTCCATTATAAATTTGGAAGAAACACCTTTAAATGTTGAGTGACAGGTGCCAGTTTCAAGCAGGTACTTTTTTGCAATGCACCGTTTGACAGGAAAGCTGGCAATTACAGCACACCACCAAAGTCTCACCCTAACCTTGAAGTGCATTAGACTGTTTCGTTTAAATGTGGTTTTAATTATCACAATTAAAAATGACATTTTTGTAATACTGTTTCAAATTGAGCTTTAAGAACAGTATTTAAGGCATTCAGAATCAGTTTTACACTATGTCAAACAAAATTACACTCATTATCTAGAAACAAATGTCATTACCACTTAGGGGAGCAGGGAGGAAAACAAAATGGGACATTGACTATAGCATGTGCTCTACAGAGAATTACACACAGCCCTGAAGCTCCTTGAGAACCTTTGAAACTTCAATGCTGCAGCTGCCGATGTTGGTTTTTTGAACTTAGAATTACATGAACAGCAAAACATCAGTGGTGGTTCTTTCATTTCATCTGCGTTTTTTGAACTACAAGGAATACAATATTTTTAAGCACTGCAAGGATTCGGTATTAGTGACCAGATTTCAACTTTGCATTAATTACATCTGATAGGTTTTATTTTGTTCTCTGAAAGCTAATCCTTAAACACTAAATGTATTTAAATTATTTTGTAAAATGATATCTGTGGACAGACAAGAGCTGGATTCTCAATGTCAACAGGATTCATTTCATCATTTTAAACTGGTTGATCTGATAACCAGCTGTGCCCTAAGGGGCTGATAGTATGAAATACCAGCAAACCAAACCACAAATATATACTCACACAAGCAGGAAGTAAGGAGTCATTCTTGTTGTCAGCTAGCTCTTTAATTATATCTCTCAAACCCTCTGTTAAAAGACTACTGATTAAAACATTTAAAAAGAAACACAAATGAGTGACAGTGTGGCCACATCATGGTTCTCACATAATAGACAGGAATTGGACTATCCACAGTGAATGGGCAGAAATTAAGGATGACAGAACCATCACAGGGGGAAGAAAAAATTTCTGGAAGATCAAAGCTTTCCGCATGACTTTTACATCACACTAGACATAACATCCTGTAAAAAGTAGTAAGGAACTGCTTTAATTGAAGATGAACTGGGTCACAAGCTAAGAAAGAGGCTGGGGTGTCTTTATGAAAGATAGGTAAATATTTCCTAATTGAAGTCTTTCAAATTTGCATGATAACGCAACAATGATTATGGCACTAGTGAATTCAACTGAGGAGGAGATAAATGTATCTCGAAATGTAGGCACAATTCCCAGTGTATTTTAAACAGGACATTTTGAAAGACCATGTGAAAACATATAAAGGGGCAACACGACAACAAACTTGAGAGGAACTTCCCTGAGTGGCATGGGTGTAACTACATGGTAGAGATAACCTGACAGAACATATTGGCCAATTTGCCAAAGGAGCGCACTGAGGAAATTGTACCAGTTATTTAAAGTGCCAAGTTATGTTTTCATACCTCCAGGGCTGGATAATCTTGAAGAATCTTGAGAACTGCTGGATTTGTTTCGGTTTTGGTTTTTCCGTTTACTATTGGCAGCCCTCACGGAACGTAACAGAACTTCACTGGCTTTGAAAAACGCCACCATAAAGGGCTGCTTAGATTGTGGTCCATGTCTTCCTATGAGGCCAGCTGATCTAATATTGATGGTGCGACCTAAAATAAACTCAGAGTTAATGTCTGAATATTCACAAGTCTTCAGCTTAAAAATAACTGTAAGCATTTCCACAGGTCTTTTCCTGTACATATAAAGGGATGTGCACTCAAATTCCAATCAATAAAGCTTGCAGCTCTGTTTTGCTATTCACCATTTGATTATATTACCATTTTTGAGTCAACATGAAGCCTAATTGTATAACACAAGTGTCAGCGATCTGACTCCCAGCCACATGAGAGCAATAAGGTGGGAGACCACATGAAGGAAATACTCTCTCACTACTTAAAAGTGTCTCACCAGATACAGGCTGTTTCACTCCAGTTTTAAAAGCAAATTTATAGACTTCTTCATGTTGGATGATTTTAATTTCTGCAAAGGGCTACAATTCAGATCACCTTGTCGCTAGATACGGTATTTGCCTCACTTGCTATCTCAGGATATCAGCCATCTCTGCCAGTCTGTGGCAGTGTAATGGTTGTTTAAGGTAGTTCCACTAATCCTGCTTTGTCTATAGAGTGCCTAGGACCTGCCTAATTGTCAACAGTAGAGGATAGACCACAGGTGAGTTTGAATGGAAAAGGCATTTGTCTCAATTATGAGCAACACTTGAACATACTTAACAAGATTTAACAAAATTAATGTATGATATGAATAATATTTTTATTATCAATTATTTATTTATTAATAACACATTTATTATTCAGGCATTACTAAGGATCCTTGGGAGCTGTACCGAATACATCTCCTCCTACAACAGAACTCCCTGTCACCGTCTAAAACCCGTGTGAGACATCATCCGATTGGGTCAAACCATTGCAAATTCTACATCAATACTTTATTACGGGCATACTGCAATTTCTAAAACAAATCTCCCTCCCTAATTTCATAATCTGCCCTTAAACACATTGTGACTTAATTTTTCCTGAAACAGCGGGGATGTGTTTCCCCCAGGTCCCTCTTTTTCACAGGCTCAGACTTTGTAAGGATCACTACAACACTGTGGCAAAATTAAAATTAAACTATTTCACACATCCTTAGACATGGGGGAACACTCTGCAACACAGACACACAAACAAACATACACAAAGGAATAGAATCAGAAAGGATAAAGAGATTATTCAGCCAGAAACAACTTAAGTGCAAAACAGAGATAGTAGGAACTGCCGATGCTGGAGAATCTGAGATAAAATGGTGTAGAGCTGGATGAACACAGCAGGCCAAGCAGCATCAGAGGAGCAGGAAAGCTGACATTTCGGGTCGAGACCCTTCTTCAGAAAAGGGATTTTCTGAAGAAGGGTCTTGACCCGAAACATCAGCTTTCCTGCTCCTCTTAAGTGCAAAACAGTTGAGAGATATCAGTTTAGCAATATCCTTGCTTTTAAGATGCAGTCCCAAGGTCCAAAACTAGAGTTAGCAGTCTCAAATTATTTTGTGGGGGTGGTTAATTGCTAGCCATCAGTTGAGGAAATCTAGGCTGTTTTGCTTCACAAAAAATCTCCACAAATTTTCTGAGAAAGTGAAACTTCTATTTTGTCAAAAAGAAGGTTTTGCAGAGAGTACAAATACATGTTGTTTGCTTTGTGCAGATCAGAGGTTTTTCCTTTGTAGCCTGGAGTTAAAGCTGTTCATATCATCAGTCTACGTTGTATGGAGTAATGCTGACCCCTAAACAGCTACAGTTAAAAAGGCAATTGCATTCAGGACATGAGCGTCAATCCTCCAGTGGGGAAGAAGCAGTTACCTTCAACACAAAGGTTTGTATTGCAGATAGAATGAGCTAGACAATTGACTAAGGGGAGGTGATAGCCTAGTGATATTATTGCTAGACCAGCAATGCAGAGACCTGAGTAATACTCTGCAGACCTGGGTTCAAATCCTACTGTGGCAGATGAAACTGAAAATGGAATTAACCATGAAACTGTTGACAGAAAAACCCATCTGGTTCACAAATGAACTGTAGGGAAGGAAACTGCTTGTAATGACCTGATCTGGCCTACGTGTGATTCCAGATCCATAACAATAGGGTTGAATCTAAGTGCCTGTGGGCAATAAATGCAGGTCAAGTGAATGACCACCAACCCAAGAATTAAATAAATAAGTCGGAGTCGTGCATCTGATAGAATAGGTATAATTTGCAATTAGGTACAACTGTCTCTAAAGCAAATTAGAACTATAGCATTCCACACCTATCAGCCAGTATTGTGGGCTTTGATTATCTGGCTGACGTCGAGTTCCTGGAAAGTTATTGCTAAGTGCAGTCACATGATTATAGCAGATATCTTTGTTGAGCTGATAAATGTGTTTCTAAAAATAGTCACCATTCTGTACTAAAGTCAATTTCCATTCCATTTGTAACTTACTTTAGAACTATTCCATTATACAATAGAACCTACACCAACAATTTTGTAATTCTTTGCTCCCAGAGCACCATTACCAGTGAGCAGAGTGTGACCTGCTCCTGGGGTCTGCCAGGTAGAGGCCTCTGAGCTCCGTTGCTCATCATTTACAAATCAATCACCTTACAGAAAAAGTCACAGCCATTCTGAACAATCCAAAAATCAAATTGCCCATAGCAAATTTACTCAAAATTGATTTGGGCTGGAGATTTTCACTGTTAAGTTTGTTGCAGCATCTAGAGGTCTGCTGGTGAGTGCATTTTAGTTTCCTCCCAGGTAACAGTCATTTACTAATATTCTTATTAGAAGTAAAATTATTGTAATGACAAGTGTAACAGTTTTATCGGCAGGTATTTATTCTGGCAGCATAAACAGTTTATTTGGTAAAATGTAAGGCGCTCTCAGAGAAAAACGTTGACCTGTTATATGAAACTGTACAGCTGCCCACACCAGCTGCTTCGCAAGCTGGAATCAGGGGGCTAAACTCTTTGAACTTGTTCATATTGAAGTAAACTTCCATATGTTTCCCACCTAATTTCCCCTCGCCTCCCTTTTTGTTGTTAGCATTGCATGGCCAAACAGTTTACTTCATGACACAAGCAACAAGCAACTTTGCAACATGGAAGTACTCCAAACGATGGATAGCAAAAGCATCTGCCTCCCAAATGTGCAATTAGATTAATCTTTATTTTGAAAGAATTTAGATCTATTCATACAAGCAAACCTTAAACAAATAATCTGTTAAGGTACTTTTAAAGGGAAAGCCTAAGGTGGCCAAAAGCCAAAGTCTGTATTTTGCAAGAAAACGTTCTGTCCTGACACATATGAATGGAACTGTTTTATTTGTGGTTTCAGCCATTTCCATTCTATTTCCACTGTAACAAATGTATTAATTCAGATCAAACTTCCTCTCCCTGGCAGCTTGTTTGCTGTAAAAGAGAAATTACAAATTCCATCCAAATATCATACCTTGAAATGGCCCACTTCAATACATAAACACTTTTAAAACATGTTTATTCAGATGTTTGACTTCAAATTAGTTTAAGATGTTTCCAATGAAAAGCACAGCTAAAGCAAAAAAAGGAACACTTTAATGAGCCTATGCAGCTGTATCATGCATGTCTACACCAAACTACTGTTTAAAAAAAGTCAGATGACATAACAAAATGTCTTTGCAAGTCATAGTCAACACTGTGTGATGAGATGTTTTAACCAGTTTGAAGCATAGACTTTGAAAAATAAATTAGATTACTTCCATTTCATTCTACTTAATCCAACATCAACAAATGACCTAATGTACTTCCAAAAAAAATTACAGGCATTTTTGGTCCATAATAAAGCTCTATCTGTTGGACTCAGTCAGCATTTAATCTCTTGTACATGGTTTATGGTACATGGTTTAATTTCTGCCATTTTGGATGTTCAGTCCCAGAAACAAATGCAAAAAAAATGCCCATTTTCTTATTTTAAGATGCATCTATTCTTGCCTATTTTCCACTTTTATCTCATCTCGGCAGAACATCCTTGTTCCGCAGACACTGACGCACCATTTGTTTCTTGGTGCAGCTATCATTATTGTCATTGAATCATTCAACATTCATCACTTGCGCCGTTAACATCACCATGACGGTCAGCAACAAGCGTCGACATGTTGTTTGAACAATAGGACATCACCAGCTAACCGTGATCTTGATCCCAGCCAACATCAGCATATATCCTATGTGGGGAATGAAGACACAGCAATCGAGAGATCTCATATAATCTGACTTGTATCTCCTAAGCCAAGAGCAGTGCAGCTACTGCTCCCTTGGCTGAAATCAGGTGATTAAACTCAAAGCAGTGGTGGTAGCTGGAACTTTCCAAATCCACCACTGACATTATCACTGATACAAGGCAGATTTGACCTGGATTAGGAGGAAGGGGTCAATTTTCTCTGTCCAAAGGTGACTTCATTCCACTGAACCAACATGGAGTGTTCGCAAACTCACAGCAGGGCTATGGTTATTGAGGTCAAGTGTCAACTTCTGTGGTGATTTCAGTCCTGGATTAAAAGGATAAAAGGTTATCCCGCCACACGTTTTGGGGAATTCATTGCCAATCTTCAAATATTCAATTTTCAATTATAACTTTCTCAATTCTGAAGCGGCACATTAACTCAATGGGTGGTGGGGGGAGCTAAATTCAAAATCTAAAAATTATTTGATACTCCCTCGAATTCTATCACAACTTTCACCCTGATGATTTAACTGTTAAAAATTAAGCGCAGCAATTTATAAGCCGTATTTGATTTTGGAACATTAACAAGAGCACTGGCAATCATTTCCATCAACCATGTGTTGCTTTTTCAAAATGTCCCTCGGCTGAAGATTGGATCAGTTGGGCATTAAAATGTTAAAAAATCTCAAACCTGAATACTGACCACCTCAAATATGTCCTCATCCCTCATCACAGAGTTAGCTGGCAAATGAATTTCTGCATGGGCCTCAAGAAAGCTAGTAGTTGAACAAAGGAACAGAGGAGTTCAGTGTCAAGCCAACCCTGGTGAGGAGATATAGAAGTAAGACAACCTGCTTCTTATCTCACAATCAAACCAGCCCCATTAT